AGGGAAAGATTCTCTTTGCCCTGACTTGGTACCTGTTCCAGTTTGCCCCATAAGGAGTTAATGTATAAAGTTTTTATGTCTCCTCAGAATATCTACAGCTCTGTATTAATTTAAAAAAAAAAAAAAAAAAAGGCAGGGCACCTGGAGCCTGATCTTCCATGTCCCACTTAATTGCTTTAACAATGATGTGTTTTTAAGTACAGAGACAACAGTATTACTTTCTGATCCTTATGAGAAGGAAGAGCAAACTTCATTTAATTGTGATATTCAAAACAAAAGAATTAACTGCTGTGAATTGCAGCAAAGGTGAATACATATGTCTGGCCCAGAACTATGCCCTTAAAAATACTTAAAAGTAGAGCTTAGTCATACTATACTCACAAATATTCTCATTGAACCATCTTTCTCTTTTTGCTCTTTCCCCTGAGAAATTCCCTCTCAGTTTAGTGGCCTTTCTAACCACAAGTCCCTTCCATGAATCAAGTCCTGCTAAATTTATAGAGAAACTCAAATGGCTAATTTTCTCTGTGCATCTATATGTGGAACTGATCCTTTGGATCAGTTTCTAGCTCAGTGTGGGAGGGAGAGAATCTTGCATTCTTCATTATGCTACAATCTGCTAGTGTCAGGTCCAATTTAGAGCTGCTACAAATCCGCTTGAGATTCAATAAATCATGTAAAGGTGCAGGGTTTGCTTCATGGAAGAAGCAGCACTAGCAGCTCAATTATTCTTCCGTTCATTATTTTCATTCCTAATTCCTTTGCCATTTCTAATATATTCCCAAAACATCTGACCGTTCTTCCACAGCTGCCACTTTGGTTTGGTGAAGTCCTTCACAGTATTCTTTTTCAGCTGCCAAACCATTTTGCCTTCCTTGGTGTCTCCAGACAGCTGTCAATAATGTATTTTTCTGACTGTTGAACTTAGCACATTTAAAGGGGAAGATATCCAAAGAGAAGATGACTTAACTAACTTCCCTTTTATGTGTCAGTTGTTGAACTAGTCTCCTTTTAAGAGTGTTTTTCATTTTGTGTGTTAGAACTTAAAGCATAACACAGATGCGCTGCTGGGGAGCTGGATTAAGGGGTGGAGAGGGAGCTTTGTCACAGGTTTTAGGTATTGTATTGTAGAACTGAATCCTTCTCAGTAAAATACAGTATTGCTGGACTTTGCTAATTTATTACTTTGAAAGTTTGTACAAGAATTGCTCAAGTATTTTAGTAAGTTAAAAGAATATTTTTCACTGAATTTTATTTTATGCAGTCAAATTGTGAATGGGAAGCGGTTGTTTACGGAAAAACAGAAGACCAGCTTATCATGACTGAACAAGCAAGAAGATACCTGAGCACATACACGGCTACCAACAGCACTTCACGGGCTCTGATACTGTGATGGTCACTGTAACTGACAACCATCTCTTTCTGTTGAAACTGACACAATGTTGAAGGCAATTCCAGCACAATACTTTTGAATTAAGTCTTTACTTTGAGACAGTCTGCCAAGGGAAACCTTAAAGCTACCTTAAAGCTTCCTTTCTTCTTTTGACTGACAAAGAACAGACATGAAGCCCTTGTATTCTCTACGAAGGGATAGTACAAACAGTTCTGCAATGAATTTCTTAAATGTTAAAAAAGTAACACCCTAAAATATGATAAAGAATGGTAAAATACATTGCAGTCCTGACAACATACAGTTTTTAGGTCTATTTTTCATATTTATTCTTTTGACTTGCATTGCTTTTTTCTGTTAGTGCATTTTCAACGTAGAGTAGGTTTATAGGTTGTTACTGGTTTCCAAATGAGCAACATACATGACTGAATGTGCTTTTGCTTATGTAGCATTTTTCTAGTATATAAAGAAACACAATGGAAAGGAGTTTAAAGGAAGGATAGAAAGTTGCACTACTAATTTTTTGGTATGCTGCAAAACAATGAAATTAACTACAGTGTTAAATATATTTATTTGCAAATGGTACTAGAAGTAGGCAGAGGGAGGTGAATTAGGTTTTAGTGTAAAGCATCAGTATTTTCTTCATAAATCTCAAAATGAGATGATTGTTGAATGTATTGTACAGTATGTAGGAACAGGGAAAATTTTGTAAATTGGAAAGGAGTCTGTTTTTATAATTTATTTTCATTTTAAAGCTTAAATGTAGATATTTATATGTATGCAGGTTGTCTAGAAGCCAACGTTGTTTCCTGTTAAAACAGCTAAAATGAAAAAAGGACAAGTTTAAAGTATGGAATAGCAGAAGAATTACAGTGGTGAAGTGTACAAATCTATACTGTATGTTACATCTACATAAAGATTGCACTATAACCCTTAAATCATGTTGGTCTGCAAAATAATTACAAGGTATGCCTGTATTATACAGCAACTGTTCCTGTACCTTGTTTAAATATACTTAGAAAGGAATGGTGGGGTCCTATATGTGACCCAGGAGTACTTTGTCCTGCATAGGAACTAAAAACTAATGCATTTTAATTTTTTTTTTTTTTTAAAAGAAACTTGGCACCTTGGATCTCAAAACAATTTTATCTGCACTTAAGTTTGACCATTATATACTTACTAAATGTTTGAAGAGCAAAGAGAACATTCTTTTATTTATGAAAAATCTTTGTCCTTATTTAAAGGTATACAGGTCACAACTGTTGCTTTAGTTGCCTATTTTAGGTATTTGCACTTCTTTTATGTCTTTTTTTTTTTTTTTGAAGGAATGTTTTGGTTTGCTTTTGTTGTAGAGATTTTTATGTAGTTAATTTCGAGCAAGTTATAATGGTGTGCTATCAACAAATACTGACAGGTAAATAGAATTGTACACTGTAGTTTTAGTTATTTATAATTCAAACACTCTTCCTCTCCACTCCCGGGTGTGCTGCTACAGATAGTGGCAGAATCGGCTTGCTGCTAAGAGAGATGGAAAGAGCGAGCATCATATGCACTGTATGTAAAATTACAAAAATGATGTCAGGTTCTCTAGTTAACTTTATGAGATCAACCAGTACTATGCAGGGTGTGGAAAGTATTCCTATCACTTTAATATCAAAGATGGTAGAGAATAATTTATTAACGGAGAATTTTAACGAGATGAGTGGCACAAGGAAGGTAATGGGTTATTAAACTTTTTTAAACATCTCAAAGCTTATACAATCCTTATTTTTAGGAGTTTTTTGATATTGAATATTTGCCTGGCTATGATATTAGTAGGCATAAACATTTTTAGCAGTTTTTAATTCACATCAAAATTTTAAGGGGAGGGAATCCTATATAAGCAAAGGGATCAGAAAATAGCCGTTGTGGCAAGATTACTCCTCACCTATGAAAACTGAGAGGAGGCAATTGGAATTCTTGGCAGTACTAGGTTTAGGTGTGCATTACCAGAATGGATTGAACAGCAACATTTAACGCTGGAGACAGCATTTAATTCACAAAAAATGAAATAAGACATTGAGAGAGAATGAATATCTAGCATCTGGATGATATATTCCAGTAGAAGTGGTATCACCAAAACTGCCTATACCAATTTTAAGCATAGACTTATGGCAAGTAGTAATTTGTGTTGGTATTGGTTGGATCGTTTAGTTAACTCCTACTTTGTTGCTTTAGCAGGAAGGTTTTAATCTTTCATATGTCAGGCATCTTTTATTACTTTTTGAATGTTGCGTGCATTTGCATTTCTTTCAGTTTATAAGTAGATTGTACATGCAGCAGCCAAACTTGCATGAAACTTAAATACATATTACTCCATATTTTTGTTTTAAGGTTTGACATAACGTGCAACAAATGCCTTGTTTATCTTAGTTTTTGTTGTACTACAAACTTTTATGTAAGAGAATCTCACATACAATACAGACCATATTAATGTCAGAAATAAAGCATCTATGTACCAGGTTACTGTAAGTGCCTTTTATTGCAGAACTTAAACACTTGGTGCTCGTTAAAGCAACATGTATGTATGTATGTGTGCATGTGAAAGTGCAAGAAACCTTCCTTTTCTGGACTGGGCGGAGACAAATGGCAGTTGTGGGAATCAGCGGGTTACACAGCAGGATGGAGTCCCTTGACAATACGTGCTTCAAGCCAACCTACTTGGAAGCCTGTGGTTAACAGTTTGCATTTGTCTCTCAAAGCTTTAACACAAATATTTATGTATAGGAGACAAAGTCTGAGGGATGAAGAATGTTGCTAGTTTTACATTCCTTTTATTTGTATGGTAGAAGCGATATCTTCGTACGTGTGCCTGGGTCTTGAGAGGTAAATGCAAGTGTAAGCTGTGCAGTGTGATTCCTCGCCACGCCCCTGCCAAACTAGTACTCACAAACGTGTATTAGTCTGAATTCGTGTTAGACTTTGGCCGGGGCTTTGCTGGGATCCTGGCTGTCACAGCCCGGCCACGGTATGAATATCCTGCAGACCTGCTCCTGTTTGCATGCGTGAAGTTTTCCATCGCTTGGGACAAGCGAGGTGGGCTGACTGCAGAGCATTTGTTCTTGTGGCTGGCTGCTGACATCTGAGATCGGGGCGAAGTGTAGGTAGGTGAAAGTGAAGCCTCTAATGATGCGACTAGTTAATTTTTCCATGTCAGCTTTGCTCAGTGAAAGAACGTAGAGCAGATGGACAGCCAGTGAGCCAAACTTGGAAGGAACTACAACTGTAGGTTTGATTATATGAAGAGTCTGGAAGCTCTACTCATGGGCCTGGCTTTTACTTGGAAGAAATGGTCTTTAAGGAATTGATTGGTGAGAATAAGCCCAGTTCCCACCGCTATTATTCTGGTTTTACATGAGAATAACTCTACTGGAGTTGCACCAAACTAAAACTGATCCAATGTTGTGAGTGAATCAAGCTTCATGAAACAAGGGTTTTAACACCAGATATTAACGGACCACCATTGCACCATACCTGGGACCAAGGTCCAACACAATGCAAACAAAAATTCTGAAACCGGAGTTGATTCTTGCATTTGGTTCTGTGACAAAAATTCAGGTAAAGGTTCAGTACCTAGGCGGAGAATACACTGATGTCTTCTAATGCTAGACCTCATTTCATTTTTTTTTTTTTCGTAAGTTTCCTTGACCTTGGATACGCTGAAGCTTTACAGGCTTAAATGCTGACTTTCATGAGGAAGCTGTGGATTACTGTTTCTGTGCCAGATGAGCCAAAAGATTGGTCCCTCTTGAAGCTGCAGCCCGCTGGTCTGTGTGGCTTCCCCTGGAGACAGCCAGCTTATCCCTTGAGTGGGTTGGATTCTTGCCTTGCAGCTGAAGGCAACAATAGGATCCTTGTAGTTCTGCTAGCATGATGTGCTGGAAGAACAGGTAAGCTTTGGACATTTATGCATAACCTTACATTTTTGTATAAAGTAAAAATCCAAATGCTCACACCCACTCTATTCCACCTTAATGATTATGAAGAAAGCTCAGCAGTGCAGCTTCTGTTTGCATCTGGAGTAAGAGATGTGCAATATGGCATTCTTCAGTATCAGCTTGTGTTGGTGGTTTGGTTTTCTTTTTTGAGTTCATTTTCTCTTCTGCTTCATTGCTGTGTGTGTTTTTTTGTGAGGTACAGAACTGAGAGGAGTCCTCTGATGGTGCCTGCTGTTGGACTGCATGACCCCGGTGATACAGTTGCTATTGCAAAGGGAATTCTGTCTACCTGCTACTACCTTTTACAGAAATTTGGGTTTCTTCTTTGGGTTTATTTTTAGAGACACCTCTGGATTATTTACCTGACTTCTGATTTCCTGTGTCTTCACACCCTCTGACTACAAAGATGGATGTTAGTGGCCTTAGCATACGCAAGAGTGGAACGGGCTGTGCATTGCCTGGCAGTGATGTACGTCTGCAACTGTCCTATGTCATAGTCTGAGGGGAGAGGGTGCTTTTGTCTTTTGGGGAGGGAGAATTCTGCTTACTCAGCATTTCCTTCCTTGCCGACTGTTGGCCAGTTGCTTGATCTTAGTTACTGCTTGTAAAAGCGACGTCTTGTGGTTGCACAACCAACAGAACTTCAGAGCACGCTGTAGTGTGTGTTGTGGGCTCTGCTTTGAAATGGTCTATCCCATAGGTTAAGAAATATTTGCTGAGTTTTCTGAGGGTATCAAGTTCTTACACCAGTAGGCATTAAATAAAAAATAATTTTAAAAAAGATCAATAGAACAAAGCCATAAAACAGACAAAACGGAGAGAAAACTGCTCGTTGAAAGACCACGCTCATAAGCAGTGACATAAAGTGCCTCAAAAGTCTTTGTAGGAACTATATGAACCAAATGAGCTATGCACATACGTTAGATGGAAAGACAAAGTTTGGAAAAGCAATCGGCTTTGTAAGTCAGAGCAGTTGAGGATGTGTTTGCACGTACATGTAGGGATGAGTTGGCCTGATGTGCTCATCTTAAAGCTAAGTGGCGTCCAGGAGGACGGCGTCCTTGTTTGCCAACT